TATTAGATAATGAACTTCCTTTATATAAAATAAATTTTTATAATTTCAATCAATAATTGACAGACAATTAGTTCCAAAATGAAAATCAATAACCGATGACAGGTAATTATTGACTATAGAATATTATGTATATATTTGACTAGTTCAATTTCCTGTTATTATTACTATTATTAGTTTATTTTGTTAATTGTTAACTGGGAATTTATATGACAGATGTATTCCCTTTTTTTGAATATTTATAATAGAATTCAATTATTGATAATTAAAATGTATTAATCTATAGAAGTCATTAATGTTGTATTAGTAACCATAGATATTACATAACAATGACATTGTTGTAATCAAATGTCATCTAAAACATTTTGTTTAGAGGTGTAATTAAAATTTACCTAAGTACCTTTAATAATAATAAATAACATTTACAGATTGAAATCATTAGTCAATTGAAGCTAGATCACCACGGAAAACCCGGAAGCACTGGATGGCTGTTTCGTCCTAGTATAGTTTTCCATGGTGGTCTAGCTTCAATTGACTCATGATTTCAATCTGTGAAATTTCTGAAATCTCCACAAACCCCTTCTGATTTTCCATGGTGGTCTAGCTTCAATTGACTCATGATTTCAATCTGTGAAATTTCTGAAATCTCCACAAACCCCTTCTGAAAATATCATTTATTTATAACACTCTACATATGTTGGTAACACTTTTTTCTTGTGCATACAAAAATGACTACAAGTTAGTTAAAACGTCAGTTTAAATCAATATTGATTAATATAAATGATATTTATATATGTAAGGGGATTTATGGAGATTGTAGTAGTTTGAGCAGTTGAATGAATGAGTCAATGTATGATCGTTTCTTCATAGTATGGGATTCCTAGATAGTGTACACTCACTATCCTGTATACAGGACTTGAAATCAGGAACATCATGTACATACTATTATGACTAAATAGATGATAAGTGCATACTATATTTTGATGTTAGCAACAAACACAATAAGAGAGATGAGAACTGTTTTTATCAATAAATATTTCACTCATTTATTTGTGAAACTCATTCAAGTGACTGTACACATTTCTGATGTGAACACAAATTGATCTCAGTAGTGAATAATATCAATCATTGTTGAAATGTAAACAAACAAGAGAACAAAGATATTTTGTCTAGTTAGCTCGGTGGTAAAGTTTAAATGTCATAATATGAAGAGGAGTGTTAACATAGATGATTTTGTTTGTGAAAGATTAATTCAATAGTTCAATTCATTTGTCATTTGAAGTTACATAACCATGGAAAATCTGGTAGCACTGGATGGTGGTTTCATAGTCTCGTGCTCGAACGCTTAACCTGTACACTAGTGAGTTGACCGATAGGTCCTGGGTTCGAATCCCGAGAGAGGATTTTAGATGTGCACTGTTGAGCAGTCCCATACCAGAACGAAACGGCCGTCCAGTGCTTCCAGGCTTCCCATGGTGGTCTAGCTGTAACTGACTCATGAATTCAACTATTAAATTACTAATTTCTCCACAAAACCTGCTTCTGAAAATAATATTAATTTGATGAATCACTAGTTCATGGAATTCACATTTTCCTAAATGAAACTCAATTTAACCTTAGAGTTCAACAATATCAGAGTTCCTAGAGTTAAATCTTATCTTAGTATCCATTTCAATCTGAATATACCATTTATATACTTTATTTATAGTAAAGTTCAGAGAAAAGATTTAGCTGCTGGTGATGTAGTTAAGTGATACTAATCTCTTAGGTTCAGATCAATATTCTAACATCAGCCAGAGATTATTCAAATGCACTTCTAACTAAATCTTTTAATCAAATTACAGAAGTGATTTATTCTTTTGAAATTGTCGTTTCCTTTGTGTGTCAAATGAAAAAACAAACAAACAGTTTAAATACTAACATAATAAGTAAAGTAAATTATAACCAATCGGGAATTGCGTGTTAGTAGGGGAAATTCATCTATTTATTAGTTATATATATTCATATTCTTCATATAATGGTTAAAACTAATAGAAGACTTACAATAGAAATTAACTGAGATATTAAATGTAGAGGTTTGTCAATTTTCATCTGGAAATATCACAGTAAATGATAACAACGTTTAAATATCAGGTTTTTAATTCTGACTTCAATCTGATATAATATAACTGGTTTCCTTAATGGTAAACTGGACAAATTAAATAATGTAAACAGTGATGGATAGTCGCCAGCAGTGGAATTCAGGACGCGCCTTTCGTTCTGTTTGCGACTCGTCAGCTGGATGTACCTGCATCTCAGAGTTGATGTTCACTCTGGGACTCGAACCCAGTACCATTCACTTCAAACGCCATCGTATTATCCACTCAGCTACTGAGTCCTGATAGCCACTGCTAGCCACTATCCATTATTGCTTACAAAAAGCTTATGAATTAAGGCAATATCGAGGCATACGCACAGTATGCACATATGCCAATAACAGACTGATCAATTGCAGTCTTAAACCTCAATGGGTAGATACAATCCAAACAATACCATGTGAAATTAAATAATGGTTCCAGAGTTTGTGCTCTTGTTGTAAAAATGATGTGAAACGAATATATCAAGCCGTTTAGTTCCTTAACAAAATTTCTGCAGAAACTTTATTATATTTCAGTACTGACTGCAGTTATTTAAAGTTATCTAAACAAAATGTTTTCTGTTCTTCCGTCATTTAATTAAATCTCTATACGAATGCTCTAATCTTGGTTTCTCTAGTTTGTTCTAATTGAATTGTCCTATTCTTACATTTGATATACAGTCAGCAGTTAGTTATATTTCGGATAAAGATTTATCATTATTCCTTTAAAATGTGTCCGTAAAATGTTAACAATAACACAAGCATAGTAAATGGAAGTAATATAAGTTCAAATAAGGTTTGGTTGGAAATATGATGCCACTATTCTGTTCAAAAATAGGTTAATGTCATTTTGCAACAAAGTAATTGAAAACTTGTATGAACATTCCTTGGGATGTTTTTTTAATAAGGATGATTGTATTATGAAGGAAAACAATGGTTTACCAAGTTTATCACTGAAAAGAATATTCATAACTATTCGACTATAAGAAGGTATATGTTATGAAGGAGTAAATATATAACTTAGAAAATCAACTGTATTTCTAAATTAAATTAGTTTATCAGATAGGGGGTTTTGTGGAGATTTTAATAGTTTCACTGGTTGAAATTATGAGTCAATTGAAGCTAGACAACCATAGAAAACCTGGAAACACTAAACGGCTGTTTCGTCCTAGTATGGGATTCCTCAGCAGTGCGCGTCCCCGATCCCACCACCCGCGATATCCGAACCAAGGACCTATCAGTCTCGTGCGGGAGCGCCTAACCATTAGACCACTGGGGCGGTATGCAACGGTGTTAATGTCTAACTCCAACCAATCCACAAAATTGCGCCACCGTACACCATTGTCTTCAGTGAGCTGATATCTCACAACAGACCTGGTTGAACTCGATTGGTCACGGCTTCTCACTAGAACTCCAGGAAATGACTCTTGAAGTCAGTCACTAGGGGTCCCATACTAGGACGAAACGGCCGTCCAGTGCCTCCAGGTTTTCCATTGTGGTCTAGCTTCAATTGACACATGATTTCAACTATTTAAATTAGTTTAATCTTAAAATGTTTGTCAATTTGATTCATACAGAGAGTTGTTGAGTAACTAATGAACAAGTACTAATCAGATGAACCCATTTGTAATATGGCTATTTATCAATATCTGATTATTTGAGGAAATGTTGAACTCCTGGCAACACAATCATCCTATTGAAATTTTCGATCTTTTTATAGTGACAAATGTTTTCACGTATACTTAACTAATAAATAACACTATTTATATTTTAAGAAAAAAAAAGACAGTTAACGTTAAACCGTTTAGTTACCAGTTTTAAATATGGTCTAATGTTCAGAATTGTTCAATATAATCACCAGAAAGATTGACTAAAAATAGTGAAATATAGTTTGATTGGTAAATTGTTTACATTTTTCTGCAAGTAAATGTTTAAAAACTGCAGTTGTTTGGTCTCCATCAAAGTTTACTAAAAAACCCAGTGATATATAATGTCTTAATGTGTTGTGTAAATCAAAGAAACAGATTTTATCATCGGTCATCTACGATTAAGTTATACACAGTTCCACAATATACTCTTGTAGGTCAGGGTAATTTTACATAGGTTTTCAGGAGAACCAGACACCATCCAGACTTTTACGTGACAACCCAAACAATACAGCTCAATCCCGTTTAACAGGAGAGCCAGATACCGCCTAGGCTTATATTTTGTAACCCGAACAGTACAGCCCAATCCCGATTCATAGGAGAACCAGACACCGTATAGGCTTTAACGCTACAATCTGAACAGCACAGCTCAATCCTGTGGCGCAACCACATAGGTACCAAGTACCCTGGTGGATCATTCGCACGATCTACGATTAAACGTAATATTCAAAATTTCCAATTCATTTTACAAATTAAAATAAAACACATAAAATTAATGTTTGTCTATTCACGGATTAACACTATGAGAGATTGGTTCCCTAGTTTCGCATGAAAAAGATCAGTAAGGATATGACCTAGAAGTTAATCCATCATTATACCATCAATTTGTTTATAATGTTTTATTAATGACAAAATAGACATTTATTGTATATTTCAGAAGTAATTCTTTGAGACTAACTGAAGTTAGACCTTACTGATTTTATTTACAGCTTAGCATAGTATTTATGGTAAACAAATCTCTTAATAATTGAGATAACTGAAGCTAGACCACCATGGAAAACCTGGAACCACAAATCAAAATGGTTGCTTTTTTTAATAATTTAAAAACATCAGAAATGTTTTTATCTTACCATTATAGATACTGAACTTTGTTTGAATACACTTCTTTATTCAAGAGTTCTTAACAAAACCTAAAAATGGTTCCATGTTTTGTAAACATAACTATAACTGAACATTAATGAGTTTAAAGTACAGAAATGTTTACTATATATTCGAACGACCTTTTTAAAGGTGTTTTAATTTTGTTTTAAAGAATGTAAGTAATAAAAATGGTAGAATGTTTTATATCATAATTTATTCTCATTGAATTATAGATTAAAAAATAGCTCTCTTTACTGATTAGAGTGATCTTTCTGTTGAGTGTAAACAAAATGAACTAAGCAAAGATGGATGGTGATTAGTAGTGCAATACAAGACTCGTGTTTTGTCCTATTTAAGACTCGTCAGTTGGATGTACCTCCATACCACTGTTGAATGATCAATTACAGTCCTAAACATCAATGAGAACATTCAAATAATCAATACAAAAAGAATTAAAACTTCACCCTATTGCACATGCTATTGGTTATCTGAACTCAATAGCTAAGTGGATTTCTCGATAGCGTTTGAAGTGAACGGTACTGGATTAGAGTCCCAGGATGAATATCAACTCTGGAATACAGATACATTCAGCTGAAGAGTCCCAAAATAGGACGATACGCTCCTCCTGGATTTCACTGTTAATAACCATACATCTTTGTTTACAATGCTTATGATTTAAGGTAATATCGAGGCAATGCTCATAGGATGCATATATGCCACTATGAGACTGGCCAGTTTCAGTCCTAACACATCAGTGGACAGATTCAAACAACCAATACACAAATGAATCAAAATAAAATAATTTTCAAGATCATTCTGAGAAAAAATAATTACTAGAATCCTAATTTGTTTATTATTATTATTTCACTTGTTGAAATCATGAGTCAATTGAAGCTAGACCACCATAAAAAACCTGGAAGCACTGGGCGACTGTTTTGTCCTAGTATGGGACTCCTCGGCAGTGCTCATCCGTGATCCCGCACCCCGCGGGATTCGAACTCAGAACCTATCAGTCTCGCGCCAGGAGCTTAACCAACTGGACCACTGAAGACAATGGTGTACGGTGGCGCAATTTCGTGGATTTGTTGAAGTTAGACATTAACACCGTTGGATATCGGCCCAGTGGTCTAATGGTTAAGCGCTCGCGCACGAGACTGATAGGTCCTTGGTTCGGATCTCGCGAATGGCGGGATCGTGAATGCGCACTGCTGAGGAATCCCATACTAGGACGAAACAGCCGTTCATTGCTTCCAGGTTTTCTATGGTTGTCTAGCTTCAATTGACTCATGATTTCAACTATTGAAACGAAACCCATTCTGATATTATTATTATTTTTTAATTATTGTATAGAATACAATTAAATAATCATGAAACAATTATATTTCACAGTGCTATTTATACTATACGGAATAATCTATTCTGTGAAATCTACTAATGTGACAATACTTACACAACTTCAATCATTTTATTATCCATCAAGAACTACAGTCTATCATAGATGGTGTAATGAACAATATCCATATGATTACTGTTCACCTCTCTTTGTTATCTGTTTAACAAAAACATCTTTGAGGTAAATTTCAAAGAAGTATTCACCATTGAATAGATTGTATAATTCAATTTATACGGTATACTTAAATGATATCTATATAATGTAAAATATTTTCCCTGTTAAGATTCTGAAATATAATTGTGGTTTTTTTATGCATTTGTAAATAGTGTTTAGAATTGAGTTGGTTGTAGACCTCTGATTATGACCCATGATCTCAATTGTTAAAATTAATATAATATCCACAGAAACATCTAATACTAATCAACATATGCTCACTAGTGACTGGCTTCAAGAGGTATTTACTGAAGTTCTAGTGAGAAGCAGTGACCAGTCGAGTTCAACCGCGTCTGTTGTAGAGGAAGTCACTCACTAGAGACAATGGTAGATGCGCCACTCAATTTCATGGATTAATTGAATTTAGACATCAACACCGTTGGATGCCGGCTCAGTGGTCTAAAGGTTAACCGTTCGCGCGCGAGACCGACACGTTCTGGGTTGAAATCTCGCGAGGTGGGGTCGTGGATGTGCACTGCTGAGGAGTCCCACAATGGGACGAAACGACCATCTAGTGCTACTAGGGTTTCCATAGTGGTCTAGCTTCAATCGGCTCATGATCCCAACTATTGAAATTACTATAATATCCACGAAAACCCCTTCTGATCCTAATTAAATCAGGGTCAAGATAGACTAATGAACAAAATTCTTATGTTTGAAAGATGTTTCATTAAAAAAAAATCAGTATTATCGTATTTTAAACATAAGCTGTAAATATTCAGAAAGTAACTGATAGGTAACCATATGCTTATTTTCGTGGTATCAATCAGTAAAAATTTAATCATTACAAATGATTATCAACAGCGATAGTTTATTTGTCATAATAAATTTTCAAGGTTAGTAAATGTTAAGTAAATTGACCAGTTATGCTTTCTTTGGTTACCAATAGAAAGGGTGTTATTCACTGATCATCATAGTTTAGAATATACTCTCGAACTTCACCAGAAGTCTCTGTCTTTAGATTCTAAAATTAAATGAGAAGTACCATTATTACTATCGACGATAATAATAATAACAGAAATAAAAATATTCTATTCAATATATTCAATTTATAATAATGTAAACGTTTATCATGTTGGGACTGGAGTACAGGTCATAAAGTGTATTTCCATTTGATCTTATTCAAATTTTCAGGATTATTCATGAACGTGAAAGTATTATTGAAAGGGATCAATGATTTTTTTAAGAACTATCCCATACTCTGGCTAGGGCAAGTGATTAGAAATATCGTGAGCTCTTGTGGTTCATAAGTAATCAATCATTAAGTAGTAACTACTGTCATGTTTTGAAGTCTTTATTACTCCTAATTGAATTTTATCGACCAAGTTGGAATGTGAATAATAGTTTGAGTGACCCGATATCGCGTGTGATCTGTGGTAGTCTACAAGAAATGCTGGACACAGGTTTCGTCAGTAAGGTGTACTGTATTCTTGCGGTAATTGATACTACTTGACAGATTCCATCCCGTCTCACCCTGCTTCACAGTTAGAAACTTAACCACTGAACTATTTAAGAAGTAACTGACTCCTGTAGGGCGATAGGATCAGTTTCCTGAAGATTACAGGTAAACGTGAGTGATAAGTGTCAAATATCACCAAACCTGGGTCCATGGTTTCTTACAACCACCTTATACATGAATGAACCGTTGAAATGAATATTTTACAGTAGTGTAGTGTCAGTCAGAAATGATTAAATAAAATATGTGGTAATGTAGGATTGTGGTTAACAGTGGAATACAGAACACACTCAATCCATCATATTTACGGCTGGTCATTTGAATATATCTACATTTCTGTATGAATATTCGCACTGGGATTCAAACCCGTTATCAACCTCTCAAAACGCCACCACATAATTCAATAATTCACTGAGTCTAACCAGTCATTAATTTGTTCAACGAAAATAGATTTATTTGTCTAGGACCTTGAATCAACAACAGACAATTGCAAACTCTTACATATGATGACATAAATCTTTGAAAACTTTAAATGTAATTTATATATTTAATAGTTTGTCATACTATTTATTATAAAGTTATATGTTTTCATTTATTATGTTAATTGAATCTAATTGAAGACGTTGTATACAAAAGTATGAATTTGGTGGATCAGGTTCGGAATATGAACATAAAAAGTTCATCACATTTCATGAAAAACTGAATGAAAATATGACTAATCCACTTGTATTTACCGTGTCAAATTGGACTGTAAGTGATTCAATTTACTGTTATATATAGTTAAGACTTAATGTAATATATAAACCTTGATATATTTCTCATACAGGCAACCGATGTTTATTGAATAAGGTTTTGTTAACTATTTATGAATCCTCGTCAGTGGAAAGTAGTTCACTGTAAACTATCAGCTTACAAATTACCACTTAATAAAAAATCATTTAAGTCAGCATGAATTTAGTAAATCAATTTACTGAATTATTGTTTATCTGATAATAAAGAAAGTAAAAGAAACTATTTTCAATGCTGTTCATGAAGTGGGAGATTATTTATGAATTAAACACATTTAGCATTGAGCTTAAGATGTAGACAAAACTCCAGTTCACATTTATCATCTACGTTGAACGGTTTAAAGGAATATTCACTATAAAAAACAAATCCTACATCAAATGAAGCCTTTAATTCCTCGAATAAATCCATTGAATCTTTTAAATCAAATTATGTACTTCATCGGAAAGAAAAAATCATGATTGCTTAAATTGTATCTTTGATATTCAGACAAAGGTTATGAGTTATATATTTGTAGAAATGACACAAATGAATATCAAAAGTCAATGACTCTGTTACTAAGTCGAATGATCTCATTATATAAAAAGATTTAGGTATTTCTTGCTGGTGCTTGAGATTAGTGAATTGATGCCCAGATATTAAGTGAACTAATACTTTATATTTTTGTTAGTGATTAATAGTGAAATCAAGGATATACGTTTGTTGTTTTGGAATATCTTACTTGTTATAAAAAAATTAACTATTCCTTCATCTTTGAAACACTAATTATTTTGCCATTCATTTTACTACTAATAGTCAGGATATCAGTTGATTGTTGGTCAGTGATTTTCTGTACTAAGCTGAAAAAAAACTTTACTGTTAAATTAGATGGTGGTTGGAGATAGTCAACAGGAAACCCTGGACCCGGGTTTTGTGCTACTTGGCGCTCGTCATCAAGGTGTACCTGTAATCTTTAGGGAGCACCAGTTCCCGGGTTTTCTGTTGACAACTTCCAACCACCATCTTATCTCAACATAGTCCACGCAATGTCGAGTCACCTAGACTGGTGGCCACATTGCATTTTGGTGGATAGCATGCAATCTGCACCAAGAAGGACTTGACACACATGACATTGATCACCACCCAATGATCAACCAATTGTGTTTACTATTAAATCATTGATACTGATCAATCATGTTTATTAGATTTATACTGTTTATTAAAACATCTCATAGGGTAATATTGCTACCAATCAGCTACTTTAAAACCAACTGCTAGATTTCACGTTAATCAAATACATCCAACATTTACTGTAATTCTGTTATATTCAGATGATGAGAAAACATATTTATTTACGAAGTCTAAACAAAATTCAAGTCCCGGAATAAACATCAACTCTGGGATGCAGGTACATTCAGTTAATGAATTCAGAATAGGATTAAACGCGAGTACTGGATTCTACTGTTAGTCATCATCCACCTTTGCTTATAAATGCAAAGATTATTCATTCACGTAAGCTTTGACTGTAATCAAGAATTTCACAAAAACGCAGTAATAACATTGGAATCATCCTTAGAATCCTATGAATTAACTCCTTATCTTATATAAACTCTAGAATCAAACCCTTTTTACAAATACTGCTAATACAAACTCACTAACAGCTAGTTATTGAAAAATAATTCATTTACAAATATTTATTTCAATCAATCTATGAAGTTTATCCATTAAGTTAAGATGTCAGTTAGTTTATTAGTTTTACTTTCCTTAAAAATAAATTCACTTGGTGTTGTCTGCTTATATCTTCACATCGTTGTTTGGGACTGCAATCGATCAATCTCTTATTAGCATATGTGTATCTTGTGCAGATCGCCTCGATATTGCCTGAAGCCACTAGCTTTATAAGCGAAGTCCTGAAGTGGACATCAACTCTGGAACGTAGGTACATTCAGCTGACGAGTCCCAAATAAGACGAAACGGGCGTCTTGGATTCCACTGCTAGCCACTAGTCATCTCTGCTTAAAAATGAACTGATTAATGAAATTAGAAATTCTAATCTATTTATTGACGAACATTTGTTAAGTAATTTTGAAAAATACGTTTTTACAACTTTATATTTTACCTGGAAAAAAAATAAATTATTAGAATGATCTAATGTTACATGCAGCTGTATTCAATAAAGAACTTGCTGTTACTTCATTACTGGGTCGATCCAGTATTGTAATAGATTGGATAAAAACACCAGGTACAAATCAAACTGAAACATGGAAACAAATTACCTTTACAGCATTTGACAGTTTAATGGAGTAAGTAATAATAATTAATGTTATTTAAAGTTTTATATCAACTCAAAGGTATACATATTTTCATAGTTTCAACTATGAGCTGACCATAGTTCGGATACCATCGAAAACCAACAACTTGACAGGTCTTTCGTCGTGGTGCGGAATTCCTCAACAATGTGCCACACGTAATCAAACTTGAGGCCTTCGATCTGGCGGCTGAAGATCTAACCCCTAGATTACTTACCCAGCATTCAGCAGTGTGTATATCTAACCTCAGTAAATTCATGATATTGCGCTAGCATATTTTATAACTCGTGATAGATAACTATCTCATATCCAACATTAAAAAGCCCCACTGTTCACGGTTTCCCACTAGAACTCCAGAAATTCCACCTTGAGAATAGTCACTAGTATATATATTTGTATGAAAATGTCAAGAATGTAATAAGTTCTCTTTATATCAAACAATGATATTACTAAAAACAGTACGAACAAGATTTTACTGCATTGGTTTGCCGATAACATACATGATGCGCTCAATAAATACACAAAATGAGCTACATAGAAAATAATAAATTTAAAGAAAATACATTAGACATAATTAAATTAGTGTGCTAATTTTAGATCCACATTAGGTATATTAGTAATGAAATATATGATGTGAATATGAATACTGGAAATTAATTAGCATTTTTTCCTTCCATTTGAATATATATCAACAATGCTTTTCGGCGAGACTATAATTTATCGACAAACTAATCAGGTAAAAGATAACAGGTCTTGGATTTTGGTGAGAAATTCACTACTCCATTTGGTTAAATAGAGTTTTAGCATTATAGATGATGTCGGTTCGTGATGAAAACCCTAAATCCAATTCCTAACTTTAACCATCAACTGTAGATCATAATTCGAATTCCTCACAATAATTTATAACCCTTATTTGGTCCTAGTTATCAGGTGGACACTTTCAAAGTCAGTCTAGCGTCGCTCAATGGTCGTCCATAAATTATAATCCCACCTGCTTTTCTATTTCTTGTTTTTCGACAACTTTGTGGTTGTACTGGAAACAGTAAATTTTCTGTGATTCGTCATAAACACTAAAGTAGGTGCTGCCTGTTGACAAGGAAAATTACGGATAAACTATGTTAATCAGTTAAATATTGCTTAAAATATTAGAAAAATTCCTTCGTGAATGTTTTGAACTTAAAAGGTTTGCCTTCTACACTGTAACGAATACTGGAAACTCATTTCTTTTCTTTTCAGACTAACTGCATGGGTTAAAGTTTTTAGCTCAGGTAAGTACAACTGAATCATTATGTATGAGGTGATTTCGATAATAATTTTATTCTAGTTTCCATACAAAACTCAGGGAATTTCTATATGTCCTATGATTTAGTAATTACAAGTTTCGGAGTTGATGTTTAATAGGAAGTATTAAAAATCTTGTATATGTGTTCGTTTTATGAGGTTCCACCTTCATCATAATCAAACCGTTAATTTTCGTGAACAATACGTTATGATTTTAGAATGCAAATCGAGTTGTTGTTATAAACTGGGTTAATTTTACCATCTATTTAAATCTGCTATTTATCCATTTGCAATGATGAGTAATTAAATATTAAACCCATCCAATGTGGATTATACTGATGAAAAACCAATATAAAATGTTCAGCCAGATCTTATATTAAGTTATTATCAGTTAGTGATCTAATTAAAGTCATATGAACATGAAGCACTGAGTGCATACCTAATCAGTAATGCTACCAATTCCTAAACGGTTAGTATATTTAACGAAATATCTCAAATAAAACAGTACAAATACTAGATTTCCCTGACAGTCTCCAACGAATAATTTCAGATCAAAGATTAAAAAAAGCTATATAAAGGTCAATTAAGCATTTATCAGTTTAATAATTGAGCTAGATCACCACGGAAAACTTGGAAGCACTGGAAGACCGTTTCGTCCTATTGTAGGACTCCTCGACTGTGTGCATCCACGATCCCGTTTCGCGAGATTTCAACCCAGGACCTATCGGTCTAGCGCGCAAACGCCTAACCTTTAGACCACTGAATTGGCATCCAATGGTATTAATGCCTAACTTCAACTAATCCATGAAATTGAGAGATCCATCCACCTCAGTTTTAAGTGAGTCCTGGGTTTGAATCTTGCGAGGTAGGGCCGTAGATGCGCACTGCCGAGGAGTCCCACAATAGGATGAAACGACCGCCCAGTACTTTCATGTTTTGCATGTTGGTCTAGCTTTAATTGACTCATAAGTTTAATTATCAAATTATTACAATCTCCACAAAACTCCTCTCTGATTTAGCAGTTTATTAACTGACATGGGTTTGTAGGTAATGTTGCTAAAACTGAATTCTTTACTGAATACTTGTTATAATCCTTCATTTGATTAAATATCAAGTGAATAAATACTACAGTTATTCATTCGTGTTCCCAAGATATCTAGGTATTAAAAGGAAATAACAGCTGCATTACTTACAGACATATTTCGTGTGAATTCTTGACAGGAAAAAAATTCAATTGCTCGCAATATGATAATTAGGTGAATAAAGTGACATTTTTGTGGTTAAAGAGTATGCTTAATTTTCTATTTAAATTGATATGTTGACACATATACTTGGATCTATTTATCAAATCATTATGTCGACTATTATTTAGGGTTTAGTATAAATTTTTTTTGGGATTAAACTATTCACATTTTTGTGATCGTAACGTCATCAATATTTATTTTAATGTATTCTATTGTCTACATATTCATTTTTAGAATCTTGAGAAAAGTAACGGTTTATGAAATAGATTGGCACAGTTTCATATAAAATATACATGGCACGTCAATTTACTTGAGAACTTCAATTACTCGTGTGTTTTTCTAAATAAAATCATTTTTCCCATCTACTATCTCAGTCCTTTTTATTTATTCTTTTATAAGGTGAAAGAATTAAGATAAGTTATGGATGGTTTTATCTAATTTGATGGTTAAATATTTTCTAGATTGACTTAATACATCGTGATAACTAGATTCGAGCTATTTAATCCTTGATACTGAACTCATTTTCTCGACTTAATTAAAGTTTAGGAACTAGTCTATGATGGAACAAATGTAAGGCTATCTTCTGATGTTAGCTAGTTGGAAACAAACAACAGCAAGCATTGATGTTCACCAATAGTCCACTTGCATCTAAAATCTCGGCATTTGATTTCTTCTGACATCGACACAATGAAAAATATTTAAGCTTTTGAACAAGGTCTTACTACTAAATTAACACGTTACTGATCGTAGAGGGGTATCAAAACAAACTGAAATAAAAACTACCTGATTACGATACACAACTATTCGTGAGCTCCTTATACAGCAATTTATTGAATAATTTGTGGTGTTTGAATTAACTAATGATTCTTTTGTACTTGTTGAATGCTCGATTTCGAATTCTAAATACAGTACATTCGTTGTGCCTGTGTCTTCTTAATTCAATTGCGTTAATCCTGGGATTCCTAATTCATACTATAATTAGAATACTATATTGGCGTCGCGATGGAGCCTGCAATGGAAAAGTTAGATATTCATTCAACTTCAGAAGCTTTTGAAGATTACTTTGAAAGGTTCGAAATCTGGGCTATGACCAAGGAAGATGATGAGGATGTTAATATTGTGGCACACTTCCTCACATTCATTGGAAAAGAAGCATACAGTTTATTAAGAACTCTGGCTATGCCGGAAAAACCCATTTCGCTTTCTTATACAGCTCTCAAGGATCTACTGCTAGACTATGCTCAGTATACAAATTTCAAATGTCGTAAAGGAGGAAGATTTCGTAAAATGATTCATGAGGATATAAAAAAGTCCACTACATTACTACGTCATCTCAACCTAGTGCATACTCAAGGTTATGCAGACAATTCATTGAATTTGGATGCAGTTCACGAGGATGGGGACAAGTTTGGTCAGTGTTTGTCCTGTTGCAAGTTCCACTCTTCTAATTCATGTAAATTTCATAATTCTAAATGCTTTAAATGTCGTGATATTGGACAAGTTCAGTCAGTTTGTAATGCTAATGTTCATCTTACTGCAATTAATATTAAGTCTTGTAATTCTGATTCTACTGAGTCGAGTATTCATGATGATCATTTATCTTTATCAACGATTTCAAAAGACAGTGCAGAGTCATATGGCAGTTCAGAGTTAAATGAAATCCAGAATTCTTGTGAGACAACATTTCCTAATCAACCGATTTATCAGAATTCTCATGCTATTGTACCAAGTATGACTTTTCCTAATGATTCACATATTTCTAATGAAATTACTTGCAATTCTGAGGAAAATATGTTAAATGAACCTAATCATGATCGAAAACCTGATGTGGTTTGGATAGATGCTGATTTTTCTAACGATCCTACGCTCTGCAATGACAGTCCTGATG